ATATGCATATATTGAATGTGTCCCATATTACTACATTGGACACCCCTCACTCACCCATTACCTGGAGCACACATAAGATGGACACACACACACACACACTCACACATGTATCCATCTATAGCCAATTTGCTGGACCTCCGTTTCTTACTCTTATCAGTCTGAACCTGTTATTCTCCTCAGTTTGCTTTTGTCCCCTTTGTGTTTAGACCTGTATAATTTCATGAGTCCTTTATTTGTTCATGTACTTGTCTGCACTTGTTTTGTACTTGTTTTACTCGACAATTCAAGAAAAAAAAAGTGCTATGGGCTATTCTTATTCCTCCTATTATTCCATGTTTTCATTTAATTTCCTCTTTCCCTCCTTGGCTCTCTCAACTGCGCCAACTGTTCTTTTTCTGTGTGAGCTGACGTCGTGTCTTGCAGTACGCAGCAGCGGCGTGGAGACCCAGCCAAAGCGCATTACAAGCTATTTTACGTCGGAGTGAGGTGGATCCTGACAACGAGCAGTGCATAATCGCTGTCCTGCAGCATTCTGACGTAAATACATAACAAATCAAAAAAGAAACATCACAATCTAAACGTTAGATTATTCAATGTAGTATCGTCTCCCGTTTCGGACGCCCATGGTATTAACGACTTCACAATGATGCAGCGAGCAGTGAGTATGCGCTCCTGAAGACCGCCGTGGGTGAAGAGGAGCTGCATCGAACAGTTTCTCAGCCTCTACAGTAGTAGCACACGCCGCGGATTATGTGTTTTTACTCCCTGTCGTCCTCCATCCTCTCTCGGTTAAAGTCGTCGAAATTGACCGAAAGGACCATGAGAGATTAAAAACATTGATTTCATCCTACAGCAGCACAAAGAGCCAGGAGAATCAAGATGAAATTTCCGATTGAGAATCCAAGGAAACCAGGGAACATGAACCCTCCACCAGGTTAGACTATGAATTAATCATTTCTATTGTTTTCGTAAAGACTGCAGTGAGTCTTTTGGTAAAAGATTGCTATCCAATCTGCATTCCCCCAATATATTGTATATTGAATGTGGTGAAAATGAATCTTAAAATCATCTCATTACTGCGTGTTTTGAAATGAAATGCTGCACTCTGAAACTGTCCCTTCATATAGTCTTTATGGTCTTTAGCTTTCTATCAGGCAGCTCCTGCAGGCTTTCAGAGGAATATGGCAAGACAGAGGCTGATGCTGAAAAGCTTACTACAGCTGCGTCTTTACTGGGGCTCTAAACACGAGGGGGACATGTGTTGATACAGGAGCAACGATTCAGTGGGAGGGAAGGAAAAAAGAGAAAATTTAGTTTATTATGCCCACAACGAGGCTTTGCGGGAAAATCCAAACACGCACTGTCAGTCAACAAAAGCTTCAATGTGATGCAGTAGAGAGATGGTTGAAACATTACCTCATCTTCTGCTGGGTAAACACACAGAGATTCTGCATGTGTGTCACGTTCTCCTACAGCTTCATCATCAGCTCATGTTTCCCCGGCAACAGGTGATTTTAGTGTTCAGAACATGACCTTTGAGAGAGATATGACAGCCTTCTTTCATTTAAAGCTTTGCTCCCACACAATTAGATCAGTGTGGGAGCTGCGTTCACATGCAGCTGCAAAGAAAGCAGTTTTCTATACTCATTGGCTGATTGGTTACATTAATGAATCAAAGCAGTTGATTCTATTGGTTTTCATAAGTGTGCTCAGTGTCAGTGACATGTGGCGATTCGATAAGCCACTGTTGCATAACAGTAAACGGATGATGAAATGTCAAAATCCAATTATTTTGTTTTGGTGGTTGTCAGTCACACCCAGAGCTAATCAACACCACTGGAGTCTAAACACAGTCTACAGTTCCAAGAGACATTCAGCATTATGTTGCCTTTTCTATAGTAACACTGAGCACTTTTAACACAAATGGGTTCATTATAGTATTTAATAACATCAAGGTTCACTTTATAACTTTTTACATATTTTTTCAACCACATCTCACAATCCTCTTCAGCTATTTTCATCACTGCTACTGCAATGCCAGAGTTTTTATTAAAAACTTAAATCTTCAATGCATCAGCAAACTCTGCTGGTGAAGATTGTGAGATGTGAGAAAGCTCTGGAAAAAGCTAGTAAATGGTTGTAAGATATTCTGTTTAGATACTATTTTCAAGGTCAAAAATGAATTGTCTTGGGCTGCAACCTATTATTACAGTATTTTCATTACTGTTCAATCCGCCAGATATCCCCACCATCAATGATTATGTGAAATCTATGAAATTTCCGAAAACCTTAAGATATTCAGTATATTATTCCAACTTCTGTGGGTATGAACATTTTATGATGATTCAGTGGTGGGGTTACTAAACTATAGTATGGCATTCCCATAAAGTTTGGGAACTTCCAAGGGACAACTTTCTGAAAGGATTGTCACAATTGATCAATATCAATATCCTGACTGACGAGTGCAACACAAATCGGCTGCATCGCAGTGCGGATCCTCCTTTGACGCACGTCAATTGATACCTGTAGCATACAATATCCGCCTCATGCAAACAGAATAGTACTCCGGTTGCAGTAGAATAAATATTGTTTCTAGATCATCAAGAAGCGGGCCGTGCATTTTCTACCTGGGCCTTCTGTGCCGTCTTACTACAGTTGAACCACCACAGCTACTGGTTATTGTTTGTTTCATGTAAACACCTCATATTCACATAACACTGCAACATGCAGAGTGCTGATACATGAATACGCGCATGACGGGATGCTTCGTCATTAACGTACAATGCATATAGTCAAAATCAATGTAATTAACACAATGACAAGAACAAACTCACAAGAACCAGTCACATATATTTATATGACAACAAAGCATGACAAATCAATCCAGCAACACTGCGGCGCTAAAACACTTATTCCACCGCACACTGAAGAGCACGAGCCATTCAAATATTATTCACATCAGAGGGAACAATATTAACCATATCATAAAAACAACACCATAGACAAATGAACACAGTAGTAACGCTACTGCAGATGTAAAAACACAAAAGCACTTCACTTACCAAAAGCTTCTCACTATTTACAGACAAAGTCCATCCTCCTGTCTTTGTTTACGAACAGTTCAATGACGCGGTTGTACAGAACATCAGTGCGTTTCAGTTCCAGGAAGAAGTCCTTCTCGATTGCCATGGATGCCAGTGATGACAGCCGAGCCCCCCCAGTTGCGTTTCTGGAATAGGTTTTGATCCGTTTTAGGGCTGAAAATGTCCGCTCGACAGAGGCAGTCGATATCGGGATCGTCACCGCTAAACATGCCAGTGCGTAAAGTTGATGCATGCTCATCACCAGATCTTTCTGCTGAAGGAAAGCCAGTAGATCAGCAGGGCTTTTTCCTTCAAAGCCAGCCATGGCATACATTACAGTCAGTTCTGTTTTAAGCCGTGCCAGATCATCAAACAGAGATCCGTAACTCTGCGTTAGGTTGGAGAAGGCCGAATCTAGGAATTTCTTCCGATATGCCTGAAACTGCTGGGGGTCGAGAAACATTCATTTCTCGTGGTTTTTGGACCAATTTCGTACCTGGGCAAGAATGTTGTCCAAGATATCCATGTGGAGTTTCTGGTACCGTGCACGAATGTTTCCCTCCGCTTGGCCTCTCCGTGCGCTTGGGGCACCTGTTTCACGCACAGTGGACTTAAAAATGTCAGCAAACCGTCCCTTTTCTCTTTCTATAGTGTCACAAAACTCATCCACTCTTTTCAGACAGAACTGTACGTCCAGTTTTCTGTTCTGTAGTACTCCAAACAGCACATCCGAATACTCAAAAATCCCATGGAAAGTAGACAGCAAAAAACAAAACTCAAAGTTCTCCAGATGGACTTTGTAGCAGTCAGCACAGCGCACAGATTCCTCGTCGTACTCGTCATGGTGCTCCAAAATGTGCTCAAAAAGCTCCTGCAGGGCAGCTCTCATTTCAAACACCGTGTTGACCAGTCTGGAGTTATATTGCCACCGTGTTGGTGCCACACGAGGAAGACACCGCTGGCAGATGTCGTTGAACAGCTGGGGACCTGGATAATACGCAGTGAGGCCGTTGAGATGTGGAAAAAGATTTTACATTCTCTCAGCTTTGAGACCCCTTGAGTCAGCACTAAATTCAGCCGATGGGCATAGCATTCTATAAATAAAGCCAGAGGAGCCTTCTTTTTAACTTTAGCCTGCACTCCATTAAGTCCAGATGCCATGACCGCTGCGCCATCAAAACACTGAGCCACGACTTTGTCCAGACAATCGTGGTCCTCCAGAAATCGGATGAGAAGAGCAGCAACGTCATCGGCTCTCTTGTTGCCGGAAACGTTGTCAAATCTGACAAACCTTTCCTTGACTGTCTTCTGACCTCCTGTCCTCTGACCTCCAGGACCCTGTTTCAGAAAGCAGGTTTACTCTGAGACTAACCCTGAACTCTGTGTTGACTAACCCTGAGATTAGTTAGGCTTGTGCATGATGAATGAAAAAATCAATGGAGCGCCGATTCCACGATTCACCACGGCAACAGGTATTCACCAGTGGACATAGAGATATTAATGCATGTAAACCATGTATGGACTGTGCACATTTATCAGAGCAAGGAGCAGTGTCAGTAAGTTACAACAATTATGATTCATTAAGTATTGTCCATTAATTCATTATTTACCAGACTATGATAAAGTGGTGGAATCTGACTGTGCATAGCCTTAATTTTTAATAGATTTTTCTGATGGGTAAAAAGCACATGGGCCAAAAGTGAAAAATATAGTTGAAGATTTAAAAATATAGATATCAATAGACATAAGCTCACAATCGGATTCAGCAATAATGTGTTTGGTGATCTAAACGTTAAAATACGGTGGATTTTACATGTTAGACAATTGGAACATTCAGTTTATTTCAGCTACCTCAACAAATGTAGTAAAGTTCAACCCAGTCTGAAATGCTGTTAAACACGTTCACGTCATGCTTTCAAAGTACATTCTACAGCTGCACCACAATCCTCCTCACTCAGAAATATTAACATATAATCTCAAATATTATTGAATTGTTCTCCATCAGTGACAGGTGACATCAGCCGTGTGCAGAGTCACAGCGTTATATTTTCATATAAAAATTTCCACTCGCAAAAAGAAGGACACGCAGAGGTTTTATTCTGAGCTACAAGCCTGACTTGACTGTGTAATATTTGAACATGAGGGCAAAAAAAAAAACGCTGTTCAAAGAAATGACTGTCATGACATAAAATAAGTAACTCTAGATTTCCCTGAGGAACAAACTCATATCCTACCAGTATTTATATTCTAACAGATGGTCAACCTCCGCTACTGTAGCGCTGCTATAGGCATTTTGATACAAACAGAATGAATGAGGAAATGAAACCGCGTGTCTGCTCTGAAAGAGACAGAGATCATCTCAAGGTTCAGTAAAACACTGAACCTGCTTTCTGAAACAGGACCCTGGCTGCTTTGTCTCAGCCAGCAGAGACGTTTACAAGAACAGACTAAGATAAACAGCTTTTGTTTAAGCTTGTTTGTAAAAAACAAAACACTTTTGACCGACCTTTTGTGTTGTGCTTGAACATAGTTGCAGTGGATGAGAGACTGTGGACAGAGCAGACTGAATTAGGTTTCACTTTCGTTTACATGTCCATGCTTGTTGAAAAGATTAATTGATCATCAAGTATTGGCTTTTTACTCGCAAACAGTAAGGAGCGCAGTATCCATCAACTTCAGTAATCTTCACTCCACCTGGTTCACTTCAGTGTGTGTGCTTGGGTCTATGTGCGTGTGGAGTTGGAGGAGCTCATCCCGACAGAGAGAGGAGATGTTTGCTGCTGCGTGATAATAAATGACACAGACACATTATATGGTACTAACGAAAAACACCAGTAACTTCGTTACTTCTGATCTTTAATAATTATCCATTGGGGCCCGTTTAATACTGCGTTTCAGTAGCCATCCCTACCTTCAGATAACGTAAAAACATAGAGCCAGCGTTCAGTTTGTCTGTTCTTGGCTGCTGTAGAATTATGGTGGTGCAGGATGGCGGACTCCGTGGAAGAGGACCTGCTCCCTATGTAGATATAAATGGCTTTTTCTAAGCTAACAAAAATACAACAATTCTTAGTTTCAGGTGATTGTACACTGATTAAAACATGGTAAAACCAGAGCTTTAACACTACATGTCATTCACACATTCACACACTGATGACAGGAGCTAACATGCAAGGTGCCACTATCCATCAGGACTAACTAAGCATTCACAACAATTTGAGGTTAAGTGTCTTGCCCAAGGACACATCGAAATGGACTAGCGGTGCTGGGGATTAAACCGCTGATCTTCTGATTGAAGAACAACCCACTCTACTGAGCCACAGTCGATATAATATTCAACACATAGATATGAATATTATATTCCATTTCTGCCAATTAATCGGCCACTTTTCATTAATAAACTTCTTGTTCTGAGAATGGTTGGCATTCTTTGGGTGTTTCAGCGCAGGGATTTTGACACAGACAGAGCATTCCCTGGTGGGGGTAGGCTTAATCAGCATTGTGGGAACTTATAATGTAACGTAATAGTTCATTAATATGTAAAAGTCCCATACTCTGGCTTTTAAAAGGCCGGCCATATTATCTGCCTCAGGAATTTACCAATGTTTTTGTTGCTTCTCTTCACATTCCTCCTGATACAAATTCATAAAATGCACTACAGGAATTGTGTAGCATAAAGGGCCTGCAACCCTGTGTTGTACAATGACAATAAATGAACCTTGAGATGCTGCAGCACTCATCACACAATTCATTTGTCCTTTGTTTCAGTGAAAGTCCAGACAAACCGGGTCCCCCCTAAGAAGGTGCAGCCAGGCATGCTTCAGTCCAGCCTGGTGCACGCCAGCGTGGCGACCATGCAGAACCCAATGGGCTGCTCTCTGCCGCGGCTCTCTGTCTCCTCCCGCCCCCCCAGCATGGTGGTCAGCATGGAGGCGCTGGCTGACGGCACAGCTCCCTTCACCATGATGAAGCTGAAGACGGTGCTAGCAGTGTTTGTGGTGGTGGTAGCCTACCTGGTGGCAGGGGGCTTGGTGTTCCAGGCGCTGGAGCAGCCCTTTGAAAACAACCAGAAGATCACCATCACAGCAGAGAAGGCTGCCTTCCTGCAGAGACACCCATGTGTGTCCCCAGATGAGCTGGAGGCTCTCATCAAGGTAAGAACAGCCATTGGTCGATACTGCAGCGTTCCTCAGCCCTGGATATGGTCCCCAGTGGAGACTCGGGTCTAATGAAACCTGAGCTTCATATCGATCTGACTCCATTCAAGCTCCACACATACTCCACACTCCAGACACACTGGAATTGGATACAAACCACACTGAGCTGTACATACTATGCTCCCTTACATCCCTGAAACTCCTTGAAGTTTTGTGAATCTAAAAATAATATTCCCCCGAGATGTTTTTGGATGATTAGTCCACTAATCTTGACCTTTTTTCGACCGGCGCCCCATAGCCATCATCCGGGTCCCTTACCGCCTGTCTTCCCTGAACATTAATACCAACTACAATATTCCTAAAGAAATTTTGACAGTGTGGCTTCTACTGCCCGAAGAAATCGCAATATATACACACGCCAATGTTACCGGTAGTGTCATTCAGGTTCAATTGAGATAGCGCTACTCTCTTTTCTGCATTTTAGATTCATACTCTTGGATTTCAACTTGTATTTGTGGGGCTTTTATTTTGAAAGGGTGGGACTGGGTGGGTGAGAGAGGGGGAGAGGAGACAGAATCATAATGTTTGACACTAAAATGAGAGGCTTCATCACAAGCATTCCAGTTAGAATTCATTCTGTGGGGCTTTTAATTTGAAATGGGGGGAGGGGGTGAGAGGGGAAAAGTCCTCTAAAAATATCTAAGACCTGAATGACTGTATGATAGAGAGAGACACAGAGAGGGAGAGAGAGAGACAGACGGAAAGATAGACAGAGAGGAGAGAGAGACAGAGTGAGTGAGTGAGACAGGCAGACAGACAGTTAGATGGACTGAGTGAGTGAGTGAGACAGGCAGACAGGAGGTCTAACAATGCCTTTGACTGAATATCTCCATGTCATATGTGTGAGAGAGAGAGAGAGAGAGAGAGAGAGAGAGAGAGAGAGAGAGAGACCAAAGCTGATTATTCAGTGTGGCTTTGTGGCACAAGGCAGTAAAACTGCCTGTGCCAAAGCACACTGTATATTATCCATCGGGCTTAATCATACTACTACGAATAATAATAATAATCAGGTTTATCCAAAGGTTTGGCGCGCTTCTCCTCACACAGCGTTGCCAACAGCGGCGTAAAAAATACATCAAAACGTGCGGCCTGATCGGGAATAGTGTGCTATCTATTTTCTGGAGAGATTCGCCTAGCGGTTTTACCGAAAATTCCCGAAAATCCCCAAAAGCTGAGCAAAATTTCTCCATTCACTTGAATGGGGTTCCGGCGTGAAGAGAGCTAAAAAAACACTTAACTTTGGGCCCATATTGACTAGCCGTACATTAACGTAGAAACATGATTCAAAGTTTAAAACGTAGACAAAACGCTGCACTTTATTGAGCCAAATGGACATTTTGATAGCTAGCACAGTTTTCATGAAGTCACAGATTAAGTTTCAGGAAAATTTTGGGTCTGTTTCAGATTTTATAATGGGTGTGTATTGCACGGCTCGTTAAGAGCTAGAGTGAAAGCATAACCGTCAGAGTGGAGCGGAGCAGGAAAATATTCTGTGATTTTTCCAAACAAATTGCTCTAGCTCCCACAATGTTTACTCTTTATACACCATTTTTGGCCAAAAAGCTTGGAAATGTTGTGCTGTCGCACACAGATGTCTGTGGAATCCAACGGACTTACACATTTGGCTCAAAGAGCCACAGAGCGACATGAACTCCAACCAACTGCTCCATTAGACTCCATGTTAAATCTGACCACTCATTTCTCAAAGAAAGTAGACGGTACCAGTTTTGCATATTGCGCTTGAGCTCACATTTTTAAGACCACAAACATAAAAAACACATCTCCGCGTTTGCCAGAGTCTTATCTCTCTGACGGTATCCATGTTTTATTGATTAGTCTCATGGTTTTGGTATAGAGGGCATATGTTTGACAGGTAGTTTTGTTGGAAATCACTGGTTACTCTCTCTCTTAATTAGCCTCTGACACACAGGTGCTCCAATCACCAACATGCACCCAAGCACACAGGTGTTTATATGAGCTCATTAGTGATGTTGATAAACACACAGAGGCACTGAGACACACACGCACATACACTCCTCTCCCTCTATCTGTGTCTCTCTCTCTCTCTGTGTGTGTGTGTGTGTGTCCCTCATACAGTCATTCAGGTCTTGGAGACTTTTAGAGGACTCCCCTCCCCCCCATTTTAAAATAAAAGCCACACACACATGATTTAGAGATATACGTGATGCAGCTCAGCCAATCAAGTATGGGTATTCTGATAAGTTTCCTGATTCGCCGCACCGCGACACAAGAGGGAGAGACGAGGAAAGACATGGCAGAGCAGGACAATAGTTATGTAAGCTGTAAAAGATAAAACATAGGACAATCTCCAAATGAGAAAGATTGCCAGAGAGATCAGTCTCTCTCTCCCTCTTTGTGTGTCTCTCTCTATCATACAGTCATTCAGGTCTTAGATATTTTTAGAGGACTTTTCCCCTCCCCCCCATTTCAAATTAAAAGCCCCACAGAATGAATTCTAACTGGAATGCTTGTGATGACGCCTCTCATTTTAGTGTCAAACATTATGATTCTGTCTCCTCTCCCCCTCTCTCACCCACCCTTTCAAAATAAAAGCCCCACAAATACAAGATTCAATCCAAGAGTATGAATCTAAAATGCAGAAAAGAGTAGCGCTATCTCAATTGAACCTGAATGACACTACCGGTAACATTGGCGTGTGTATATATTGCGATTTCTTTGGGCAGTAGAAGCCACACTGTCAAAATTTCTTTAGGAATTTTCTAGTTATTATTATTATGAAGCCCGATGGATAATATACAGTGTGCTTTGGCACAGGCAGTTTTACTGCCTTGTGCCACAAAGCCACACTGAATTATTGTTCAACATGTAACTAAATGCCAAATTCAGATTTGATTAAACAGTTGGAATATATTCATCATTAGTTTCCCAGGCAGCAAAATAGCCATGTGAATATAAATGTCTGTTAAACAAATGCAACGGTTAGAAATTTGACAATAAAACTTTAGTTCAGTGTGGCTTTGTGGCACAAGGCAGTAAAACTGCCTGTGCCAAAGCACACTGTATATTATCCATTGGGCTTACTACTACTACTACTACTACTACTACTACTACTACTAATCAGGTTTATTCAAAAGTTTGGCGCGCTTCTCCTCACACAGCGTTGCCAACAGCGGCGTGAAAAATATATCAAAACGTGCGGCCTGATCAGGAATCGTGTGCAATCAATTTTTCGGAGAGATTCGCCAAGCGGTTTTCCCGAAAATCCCGGAAAACCCCGAAAAATGGAGCAAAATTAAGTTTGGTGCGCTTCTCCTCACACAGCGTTGCCAAAAACTGAGCAAAATGTCCCCATTCACTTGAATGGGGTTCCGGCGTGAAGAGAGCAAAAAAAAAACACTTAACTTTGGGCCCATATTGACTAGCCATACTTTAACATAGAAACATGATTCAAAGTTTAAAACGTAGACAAAACGCTGCACTTTATTGAGCCAAAGGGACATTTTGATAGCTAGCACAGTTTTCATGAAGTCACAGATTAAGTTTCAGGAAAATATTGGGTCAGTTTCAGATTTTATAATGGGTATGTATTGCGCAGCTCGTTAAGAGCTAGAGTGAGAGCATAACTGTCAGAGTGGAGCAGAGCAGGGAAATCTTCTGTGATTTTTCCAAACAAATTGCTCCAGCTCCCACAATTTTTACTCTTTATACACCATTTTGGCCAAAAAGCTTGGAAATGTTGTGCTGGTCGCAGTAAAGTATCTATGGAAGCCAACACACTTACACATTTGGCTCAAAGAGCCGCAGAGCGACATGAACTCCAACCAACTGCTCCATTAGACTCCATGTTAAATCTCACCACTAATTTCTCAAAGAAAGTAGACGGTACCAGTTTTGTCTATTGCTCTGGAGCTCACATTTTCAACACCACAAACATAAAACATTACCGCGTTTGGCAGTCTTATCTTTCTCACGGTATCCATATTTTGGCAGTCAGACTCCTGCTAATTTGTTAAAAAGAGGCAGGGGTTTTGTTCAAAATCACTGATTACTGCAACGTTTCTTAATCAGTCTGCCTCTAACAACAGGTGCGTGGCTCACCATGGCAACCAGTTACACACGCAGGCTCTCGCGCTATATATAGATATCTATCTATCTAGAGATAGAGATAGAGATAGATAGAGTCACGACCCGGCTCAAAAGGCCGCAACATGAGGGAGACAAGACGAGTTAAAAGTAATAAATAGACATTTATATAAGGAACCAACTAACAGACCTAAACTAAACAAACAGGTCCTCCAAACAAGAGGCAGAGAGGATATGCGCCGTGAGGGACTGCGCAGAGAGGCCCAGCCACAGAAGAGGGGCAGCCTTTATAGCTGGGACCAACCCAACTCAGGTGTCGCCCATCAGTGGCCAATTAACATCCTGGAAGACAACCTGAGAGGAAACAGACAGACCCCTGGTGGAAGGGAGCGGTCATCACACCCCCCTCCATAAAAACAGTGTTCCCACCAGGAACACCAACAAACTGCATACACATTTCAAATTCCACATTCCAGATAAAGAGTGCATCCCCCCCAGCCAATCTCCACTCTTTAACCCAGCAACTCCAACATGTGGAGAAGCATCTAAGAGTGAGAGTGGATAAGGAAGGAAGGCCAGAGAGATTACACAGTGATATGGTGAAGCACATGATGGGAAGCAGGGTTTGCTGCGAGGGCCAGTTCATGCAATGAGCTGCATGAACGAGTGGTGAACAACCAGAACTGGAATTATCATAATTGCCAGCTAACAGAAAGCACCAAACTGAACTATCATAAGCGCTAAGCTGTAGGAGCCTAAAGGTTCCTCTGACAGACGCGCAAAGAGGCAACCCAACTACAACTCAGCTCACCCAATCAAGGCATGAGCTGTAGCGCTTATGCTCCTGAAGGCAACAGGCCAAGTTACCAACTTGCCTGTCACCGCACAAACACAAAAACCTGTTCACCACATCCCTCCTATTACCCAATTGCTTACCCTATGAACCATGAATACCTACTGCACACTGTGCAGCAGCAGTCTTCAGGCTCCACCTGGAAGGCAACTGGGTCCAATACCCAGACACCCAACAGGCTGTGCAATGCTCTTGTTACAGAGTCCAGAACATGACCATGATCACCAGAATACAAAACCAGAATAAAAAAAACCAGAATACAAAACATGCAGTTAGCAGGAAACACCAGAAACTAGTTTCCCTCAATAAAACCAGGAACAGAATTTAACACCACAGCAAGAACAGCCCATACACAGCTAACATCACTGCCACCCTGTCCCTCTGACTATCCAGAGACTAAGTAAGCTCCCCCCTAGTCTTCAGGTGCTACTTGTGGTGGGTACTTATGCACTTAAACCCGCAGGCTCGGTAAAGCAACCAGGAACTGGCCACCCACCTGCAGCCTCGGACGTGCCCCCTGCTCTAACCACTTTCACACCACACTATAGAAACCCCCCCCAACGACCTCCAAAGTGAGTCCGCTCTTCAGCCTAACAAGGACAGAACAGCAGCAACTTACTCACCGTGTATACAGGACCACCTAAACTCTGTTCCACAACAACCACCAGCATATCACATGCTCAGTGACACAAACACTCCTCAGGAAACACTGTTCACTACAGCTGCTACAATAACCAAATACAGGAAAACAGCCTACTCACTAAACTCGTCCATGTCTCCCAAACAACCAGATTGCACATCTCACTCACTTAAACGAGGTGCACCTGCCTACCAGGTTACAGCTGCTACTGATTTGAAGTGAATGCAGACACCGGGTCAACCAGAAATGGACGAGCCCCCATATGTCACGACCCGGCTCAAAAGGCCGCAACATGAGGGAGACAAGACGAGTTAAAAGTAATAAATAGACATTTATTTAAGGAACCAACAAACAAACAAACAAACAAACAAACAAACAAACAAACAAACAAACAAACAAACAAACAAACAGCCAGGTCCTCCAAACAAGAGGCAGAGAGGATATGCGCCGTGAGGGACTGCGCAGAGAGGCCCAGCCACAGAAGAGGGGCAGCCTTTATAGCTGGGACCAACCCAACTCAGGTGTCGCCCATCAGTGGCCGATTAACATCCTGGAAGACAACCTGAGAGGAAACAGACAGACCCCTGGTGGAAGGGAGGGGTCGTCACTATATATATATATATATATATATATATATATATATATATATATATAATTTGGGTCGTGGGTCGCGGCTTGTCATTAAGGGATGATGGTGGGTCCCGCAGCCAGACCAGTTGAGAACCACTGGTTTAGAGTAGCCTCTCAGAACACGCGCACCGTATGTTTTGGTTCCGGGGTGGGCGTGTCAGACAGCATGTTGCCAGTTTGAGCAAAGTCCACCTAAAACATTATATATCTCACAATTTAAGCTTCTACATTTTCCAAATGCACTAGTATTATCCAAACGTATTGTTCGGTTCGTAAGCCTCGTACCGAACGGTTTAATACGAATACGTGAATTGTTACACCCCTAGAAACAAATAACCGTAGCTGTGGTGTCATAATGAGGTTATTAGGAGATGGTTCAACTGTAGAAGGACAGCACAGAAGGCCCAGGTATAAAATGCACGGCCCGCCACTGTGACAATCATAATTGTCACTACCATACCAACAGTAATAAAAGGCCATATAGATGATCAAAATAGCGATGTGCGAAAGAATAAGATGGAATGGCTGGAACAAAATTATACTGTTTATATATACACTGCCATTCAAAAGTTTGGGGTCACTTAGAAATTCCCGTGTTTTTGAAAGAAAAGGAACATGTTTTGTCCATTAAAATAACATCAAATTGATCAGAAATATTGTGTAGACATTGTTAATGTTGTAAATGACTACTGTAGCTGTAAACAGCTGATTTTTAATGACATATTTACATAGGCGTACAGAGGCCCATTCTCAGGAACCATTAGCCCTGTCTTCCAATGGCAAGTTGTGTTTGCTAATGCATTTTGATCATTTCAACAGGCTAACCGATCATCAGAAAACTGCTGAAAACTGTTATGCAGATTAAGTATTAGCAGGAGGCTCACCAGACTCTCAAAAAGGAGATCAGAGAGCATCCTGGCTGCTCTCAGACAAACGTGGCAGGATGTCAACATTATCCTGATTTTAGGAAAATATTCAAAACTAAATGTACCTAACCTACGTATGTCAAGCAACAACATGTTGCAATTTCCCTTAAATCCTGGCACAGCCTTCCTCATCAGAGATGTAACACAATAGTATTGAATACTCTCAGATAAACAGAGAGCAAGACACTATGTAATGTATTATCTGAGATTCTCTTATGTCCCGCTGTCTCTACTTCTCTTTACAGCACTCTGTGGAGGCTGCGAATGCTGGAGTGAATCCCATCGGTGACACGTCCTATAATTCCAGCCACTGGGATCTGGGCAGTGCCTTCTTCTTTGCTGGGACTGTTATCACAACAATAGGTACTGTGATTATGGCATGACTCAATGGTTCACACTTAACAGGTCAATGGAGTTCAATATAGGGTATTTGCTGGCTCTATCCTCAGCTGTTGATCTCAAGAATTATTTTTTTTCAAAACAATTGCATTTGTCAGTTGAATGGATTGTAAGCATCCGCAATCTCCAAAATTTAACCAAACAAAGCAGCCCATTTCTATTGTCAAAGTGAAGTAAAGCCCACATTTTCATTGTCATTACATTAGTTGGAAAAAAGTGATAATTCAGCTCCTCACGCTCCTGTCATTAAGCTGTTTATTACATGTTAATGGTAAATGGACTGTACTTATACAGCACTTTTCTAGTTTTCTGACCACTCAAAGTGCTTTCACACTACATGTCGTCATTTACCCATTCACACCCATTCATACACTGATGATAGGGACTACCATGCAAGGTTCCACCTGCCCATCAGGACTAACTAACATTCACACACCGTAGACACAGTTACGGGAGCAATTTGGGGTTAAGTGTCTTGACCAAGGACACATCGACATGGACTAGCGGAGCCGGGGTACATGTACATAATATATTTTAAATATCTCCAATGCCTCACAATGGAGTGACTAGTAATAAGTGCATCAGTAGGATTAGCTTCAAGTACTTCATCAGTGGAAGCAGTAGTATATGTAGCTTTTTGTGTACAGTTTGATGAATGGCACATGTATTAAAATATTCATTCATCATTGACGATAGCATTGATGATCATTGATGATACTCTTTAACCTTGTTATCTGCTTTTATTTATAGTGCTCACCTGGACTTAAAAATCAGAGCCCATGGTAACATCTCAAGAACACTCAAAGCAAGGCAGCTGATGAGATCTGATTGGACAATAGACATTTTATTCATTGTCATTGTTAGCATTAATGAACTAAAAACAATGTCTGAAATGTCTGTTCCATTAGAATGTATAAATCAGCCCATTGCTTTTGTTTGCTTAACGTAGTCCTATAGAACACTTTCGTGTCTTCGTTTTCTTCTCCAGGATATGGTAACATTGCCCCGAGCACCGAGGGAGGGAAAATATTCTGCATTCTTTATGCAATATTTGGAATCCCACTGTTTGGATTCCTCCTGGCAGGGGTTGGAGACCAGCTTGGTACCATATTTGTCAAAAGTATCGCCAAGGTGGAGAAGATGTTCCGGGTGAGTCAAAACGTAAATCTCCTATAGTCTATGATTCAGCTTTGTGTAAATGATTTGGTTATACAATTTCATTTTTAATGTTGTCTGCTGGTTTTAAATAAGGACAGTAATTGACAAGAGGACCAGACACCCAGTAATAAAGTGAGACACATTAAGCATGATTTGTTCATATGTCCTTGACAGACACTGCCGTACAAAAGTTTAGAATCCCGTTATATTGATGTATTTCGTCTTTCCTTCAATAATGGCGACATTACCTACACTGTACCTGGCTTTGCACAAAGGTGAGGTCCTTTTGGTATGACTTTTGTAATACAATAACTAAGATCACAGGGGTTACCTTTCCATTAGATCCTGAGCTATGTTTACTGGGAAACTTGACAACTCTCAACAGGTCTTTAACGAAGCTCCAAATTAAACTTGCAGAAATTGCTTTATGTGTGGCCAGGAAATGTATCGCAATGACGTGGAAGTCTGATTCCCCCACTCTCATCGCCAAATGGTCTGTGGAAATGAACAGTTGTATTCCTCTTGAAAAGATTACATATAGTCTCAGAAAGAGATATCATTTATTTTATGAAAAGCCTTATTTGGAGTACATGGGTACAACACTAACAGTACCATAGGACTGTAACTATTTAGAGCTCTGATTTACAATATACACTGTGTCATTGCAGTCTCTTTGTGCTGTGTCACTTTATGCACCAACATTTTTTTTTTTAGTTTTTTGTGGGTGGGTGGAATTATTTATTTACTTTATTTATTTACTTAATTTTATTTCATCTATTTGTGTTTTTTTGTTTTTTTTCTTAACTTTTTTTTTTTGTAATGTTTAATGTACTGTGTTCTGTATGCTCTCTTGCATTGTTAAAATACTTGGATAAATAAAATATTCCAAAAAAAATAATGGCGAGCTTAACGTAGATAAACAGTATAATTGTAAAATTTACGTTAGAAAAAGTGTTGGCGCCAAAAGGAGAATAATGACATGATTATCTTGCATTTAGTCAATGTTTTAGTGTTGCATGACATCAAAAAATTATTCCCTCTGCAGTCTAGTCAGTGGATGGATTACAAAGTATATAGTAAATATAGTATGTTCAGTTGATATTCCGTGAACCAATTCCAGTACAAGTTGCAAGGTTTTCATTTGTCATTATGTCGTCACATGAATGACAAGGTTGCAAAATGAAACTTAGATTGTAGTCCCAATTTGTGAAATAAGAAAGAAAAACAAACAACAACAAAAACGATATTATATACTGAAGGTGGAGGATGAATTTAGGAGTCTTAGCCAGAGGAAAGAAGCTGTTTTGAAGTCTGGTGGTTCGGCAGCTCATACTTCTGTAGTGCAATAGTGCTAACCTATTTCTATTTTTACATTTCATAAGAACTTTGATCAAGCAACACGCCCATTAATTCAAGCTTGTTATAAGCTGCATTATTATGCGCTTGACTCTGAAACAATAATAATAATAATAATGCATTTTATTTGCAACGCACTTTTCATTCGGAAAATCTCAGAGTGCCACAGAGCCAGTACATAGTAAAAACATAGTTAAAACAAACTATAATAAAAATAACTAGTAAACATAAGCATAAAAAAAACAAAACTGACTGAACAGAAACACAAAAGAAATAACTGACAGTGATTTAGCACAAGGTCAGAAACACCTTCCTGAATAAAAAGGTTTTTAGGCCAGTCTTAAAAGAGACCAGTGTCTGTGTTGCCCTTAGGTGGTCAGGGAGACTGTTCCATAGGCGCGGTGCTGCCGAGCCAAAGGCCCGGTCGCCCATGGTGTGGAGCTTGGTGTGGGGGACCCGGAGGAGCAAGCAATATCCGGATCCTATTCAAATTTGCACACATTTTGGTGCTGAGCTTTCAATGTATTTTACCAATGACTGGAGATATCTCATATTTCTATGTAACTGCTGCTCAGAGGGATCTTTGTCCCTTTCAGTTGCTATTCTGGTTGAACCATTGAACAGCATTTTGTTCTCCATCTACAAAAAAATTACTTTTCATGCAAACCCACATATTAAATAACATCTATTTGTAAAGAGGACTTTGTACAACCTAAAAGACTATTCAAAAAATATGAAGCATTCCAACAGCCATCGATTGTAGAGAATTAAGCTTTTGTGGCTGGTGATTTCAAACGTTTGAAATGTAATGCACCGCATGACTACGCAAAACATTGCAGCTCTTTGTATTCAATTATAAGTTTACCTTTTCTAGTTAGGTTGTTTTCATTTTAAGGCAAATGGGAAACCAAGAGAGGATCCTTGCTTCTATGATTACTTCAGACTGTAATATATCAGTACATGTACCCTGGAGCAATTACTGATTTAATTATTAAGAAAGATGTTATATTTTCCTCATTCTAATTTTAAACTTTTAATGTGAATATTCAGGTGTGCTTCCGGTTTCGCCCTGGTATGGAGCAGATGCAGGCTCTGAGAACTCCCTTATCTTTTCACACTTCAACAAACTCATCATTCATCCCTGTACCAAACATTAGCAGTCAGGGTACTGTTGGCTAGCACGTGGTGGTTTGTGCGACCATCCAAGGATATGCCTCCCCAGACCATCACTGACCCACCACCAAACTGGTCATGCTGGATGATGTTGCAGGCAGCACAGCATTCGCCACGGCGTCTCCAGACTCTTTCACGTCTGCCACGTGCTAATTCTGAACCTACTCTCATCTGTGAGGAGAGCGGGGTGCCATTGGTGAACCTACCAAGTCTAATGTTCTCTGGCAAATGCCTGTCAAGCTGCACGGTGCTGGGTTGTCAGCACAGGTCGCACAAGAGGACATCGAGCCCTCATGCCTCATCTGTTTCTCCTTCTTTTGGGCATGTATCTCTACTCCAGCTTTGCAAACTATTGGCTAGTTGGTTTGTCTCACAGAGCTGTACGCACAGAGCTGGTCGTACACAGGAAAAGAGGCCGTGTAAAGTCCCGTAAAAACCCCTATTGGAGATGCATATTCTGAATGTGCTGTATACATGTCCAAAGAATGCTCCTAAAATCTGAATAATATTGGCATATTCCACATGTTTTAATCTGAAAATTCTCCATTCGGAATAAGGCCTAATTCAGAATCACAAAACTAAATATGATGTTTACCGGAGCCATATAACATTCAGAATATTGTCATATTTGGAATGACAGTGGAACATGTACATGTAAACATAGTCATTGAGACGTAGCTCATCATTTAAATCTTTGGGAGACAAGGTCTGTAGAGTGAAGTTCCAAAAAGCTTTACGTTGCCTTACCAGCAAGTCAAGCTCACCACCTCGAGGTGGAAGACTGACTTCATCAATGCCACAAAACTTTACGGTTGTAAATTAAAAATGACATTTTGTTCATCATTAAAATGTACAGCTACAGGATAATCTCGGTCCTTCCTACGTATAGAGCGTTTGTGTTCACTTATACAGCGTATAGAGCTTGAGCTCTCTGGTAGTTTTACCTACATACAAAAATCCACATGGATAACGTAGCATGTACACAACATGTACACAACATGTTTGAAGTGATTTTCCACTCTTTATGGAAACTACTTTGTTGGTGTGAGGATGATCACTCTCCATGGATACAGTCTCTCTAGTTTAACTTTCAGGTCTTCAGTACAAATACTGAAGCTGAGGAAATACAAATGTGATATTTAAGATTATCAAAAGAATAAGGTAAAAAACTGGGAAACAAAGGGAAACGCCATCCTCCCGGCCTGCCTGGGCACAATTATGCAATTTAATTTAGACTAAAGTCAAAGTTCAGTTATCTTCTCTTTTTTCTCAGCTACGTACAGCAATCAACCCTCGGGCCTGAGCATAAAGCGCAACGATATCAGCTGAGGGTCATTCAATTCATTGACAAAATCACAACTTGCTTAAACAGATACTTTGTTGCAAAATAACCACCTATTATAGCTTATTAGAGAATAGCGCTCTCGTTTAATGCGATTTCTGTCTCTGAACATCACTGCAGATCTTCTCCATCAGGGCTGTCAGCTGTAACTATGATCTTCACACAGGACTGCAGGCATTCGTCTGTGAGGCGAGAGCAATATTTGGATTTCATGTAGTTCATGCTTGAGAAAAACCTGCTCGCACAATTAAGTTGATCCAAAGAAGGGACAGGAGTCCAAATGCATACTTCTTCATGTTCATATTATTGTTGGGAATAGCTTTCCATGTTTCAAATGCCAGTGTGTTGGGTTCTGAGACTTTTATTCAGCCTGTTTAGCCAACTTGTCATGTCCACCATGAAGTGCAAATTTTTAAGTCAGAATCAGCTTTACTGGCCATATACATACAAGGAATTTGACTCCGGTTTTTCGTTGCTCTCTATGTACATACACAAAATTTACAATAAACAGGAAAGATGTAAGCATAAACAATTTAATGACTAGGTACAATATAAATATAAATATATATTCAAAAAGTGTATATATATACTGTATATATGAACATAACCCTATACAACAACGGTGTCAATGTTGTTGTGGGCGACTGCGGCTAAGTGGATAGCAGGGCCGTCCTTCAATCAGAGGATCCTGAGCTGGCGCAGGAAGTACAACCTCTGCTGGGCCTTTTTCCTGATGGTGTCAATGTTGGAGGCCCACTTCAGGTCCTGGGAGATTGTGGATCCCAGAAACCTGAAGGTCTCCACAGCAGACACCGTGCTGTTGAGTATGGTGAGGGGGGCTCCTCCTGAAGTCCACTGTCATCTCCACATTATGCTTGTGAACCATAATGTGTGTTATATGTACATACTATTCACTTATTGTCACGGGGTGTGGTGGAGGACTCAAATGCAGACATAACCAGATGCAGTGTGAAACAGGTTTTAATGAGTCAAGAACACGACAGGAATCTTACAGGAACACAGCAGGGAATCCAAGGAGGCGAGAGACGAGGGGGGGGATCCGGCAGGACGAGGCAGGGCAGGCAGACTGGAAAACCGTAAGCAGGATCACAACAGGAATCTTACAGGGAGTGAACAGGTGAGGGGAGTTGTGCTGGTGAGGAGGGAGTGCTTGATTAGTGATCAGAGGCAGATGAAGGGAGTTAGGCTCATGATGAGGGGGGCTAACAGGTGCACTGAATGAGCTGATTAGGTGAGTGAGAGATAGAGTGACAGGAGAGAAGGGGCAGAGCTGTGACACTTATCAATCATATTGCCTTTAACTGTTATGGTTGTCATTATTAGGGGCCGAGCACCGACGTAGTCGGAGCGGAGGACCTATTGTTATTCTAATGTTTATTAGGGCCCGAGCACCGACATTTATTACTTTGTTAGTTTCATCGCAAAAAGGAGGTGCTTGGGATACTGTGAATTTTTGGAAATTTGGCACGCAAGCCAGTTTTTGTGAAAATTGCAGTCTGATTGGGGTGTCCAGTATGAAATATTGGCTCGATAGCAACAACATTGAAGTTTATTGACATGATGTTTGAGGCCTTGCAGAGCTTAAATACTTCAAAGTGGACTAAAGACAGAAGAGGAAGTCCACAGTGTGTGAGACCTTCTGTAGTGAATGAGACACTTCAGCAGGAACATCAGGAGGATCATCAGGATATCATTGAGTAGCCCCAACATTGGGTTTCACCTAGCTGTATGAAATTTGGTATGTATGTGTATTGAGATGGGACCTACAAAAACTCCTCTTGGAGTTTTTCATTAAACAAAATAGGAAATCGGCCATTTCGAATTTTATGACATTTGTGGACCATTTCAAGGCGTCATACTTTAACAAACTCCTAGAGAATAAACCCAATTGCATTCAGATTTGGTCAGTATGCTCTGAGACCTTGGCAGTGAAAAGTTACTCAAAGATCAAAAAGTTATTGAAGTTTGTATTCGTGGCGTGGCGGCAAACAAACCCCATTCGCCATGAAACAGTAAGTTGTTGTAACTCAGCCGTACATTGTCTAATCTGCGCCAAATTTCTCATATGTCATAACATCCTGACCCTGAAGACATCTATATGTTAATTTAGAATCATGGTAACAGCGCCACCTAGTGGCAACAGGAAGTTATAGGTTGTGTACTTTGACATCCTGCTCCTCAAAAATTGTTCAGATCCCTCTCAAATTTTGTCAGAAAAGCCTTAAGACCTGCACATGTGTGTCTGGTTCCAGCCTGTCCGGGATTACTTTCTCCCAAAAAGCCATGGCATTTTCACCATAACAGCCTTTGGGAAGACCCTGAATTGGTTGTTTCCTCTTCCTTTGGCCTCCAAGTCCTCGAGAAAGAAGAGGTGGCTTTCTGCATTGTGTAAGTGAGCTGAAATACCAGGACGTTTCTCTTCAATAGCTGAAGATAACTATTTGATTGACTATCAATTAAAGCAGTTTTCTGATCAGCCTCCATCTACTTCAGCAGCTGGTAAAGACTTACCACTTCCGCGGCCACAACCATCAGCACCATTGATACTTTTGCCGGCATGTTCCAGTGTTTATTAAATATTCCAGTTAACTGCATGTGAATTTCCTAAAAAATCACTTTATTTCGTTTTATTCGTTATATTTTATTGATTCATATTAAAGCATATTTTTTGTACCAGACAGATGTGAGACAAATCAACTGAAAAAATGTGGCTTAAAAGGCATTACAAAACAAAATGATTTAATGAATTACATGTGATTGCATGTGTCTTAGGTTTAAAAACCTTGGTTCCCTGATAATTGGATGGCACAAATGTTAAGAAACCAAAAATAGTCAACTTCCACCAAGGTACAAATGAAAGGAAACAAACTGCAGGGGTGACTGCCTCTTGTTGAACAAATGAAATTCCAGGTCAACTTCATCTTCCATAATCTTCTCATTGTTGGTATCTGGCAGGAGCGGGTTTGGTTATTAGCAAGTATAGAAAAATAATTATTGATATTAATTAATACAATCATTAATATCAATAGGAACGGGGCACCACCCTGGGATCAGGGACCAATAACCGAATTGTGGAGTAAGTCTCAAATTTAGTGTTGATAGTTACTAGTCCACATTCAGAGTTAACAGTGAAGGTTTGAATCACAGCACTAAGTATAACCAGCTATTACCACAACACATATGCACAAAATAATCACAGAAACTGCTCTTTAAAACAGACTTTATTCGCCTTAACAATACTGATCAAAAATCAATAATATTATAAATAAACAAACATCTATTATACAACTACTACTAAACATCGAACCGCCGATCCTCTGATTGAAGGATGACCCTGCTCTAGCACTGAGCCGCAGTTGCTCTAAACCAGGGGTCACCAACCTTTTTTAAACTGAGAGCTACTTCAAGGGTACCGAGTAGTACGAAGGGCTACTTATTTGATACAAACTTCCTGAATAACAAAGTTGCACAGATCACCTTAATAATAATAATATATGTGAAGAGACTGTTTGATCACATGTCAGTTAATTATTCCTCACAATAATTATTAATAATGATTTCCACAATGATGGTATAGCTACACATACATATTTAAACATGCAACTTTTATTTCTGTTAATCTGTTTCAACATTTGAAAGTCAGAGGTATCACATCGCTGATATTTTTGTATCGTCACACGATTAAAGCCGGTTACTTTTGCACATAGCGCCTGCTGGTGAATGATCCAGTGGTAATGTAGACATTTTGCAAAGTCTGGGTCACCTTTGCATTGCGCAATGAAGCCTGCATGCCGGCCCGTCATCGCGGGAGCCCCGTCTGTTGTCACCGACACCAGCTTTTCCAATGGTACCTTTTTCTCCACGAAGAAACTAGTAAAAAGTCTCGTCTATAGCCGAGCGGGGGATCCAAACCTCCGAGACGCGCGAGCGTCTTTGGGCGCCTGCGTTCAAACCTCTAGTCTGGGCCTTTTCGGTCGGATTGCGTTGCCTCGCCTCTACCCTCGTTGTTGCCCCGCGGCCTGTTCCGAGGATTTACGGACCTGACGACGGGGTGCGCTCGCGGCGCGCGTCTGGCGCCAACGGGAAGCGCCTGCCATTCGGAACCTGAAAACCTAGTGCGGTGCGGCGGCCTCGACCTGGTTGTCCACCGTGCGCCTCCGGGTACCCAACTCTCTTATGACAAGAAATATTGTCATTTTAAAATCTACACTAATGCAAGCGTTTTTGATTAAAAAAGAACAGCAACTACAATTTTAGACGGAGCTCCATGGTGACTCGTGCTATTTTTAGAACATGCCTTGCTGGCGACTCACATGGTCCCTGCAGACGACAGGGTGCCCACCGGCACCATGTTGGCTACCTCTGCTCTAAACACAACAAAGCCCAGCAGTGTGGGGCAACACTATTATATACTGCACCAACAATTATGTTCATAGCACTGAACAGGACTTGGAGGTCCGTAAGACACACAATACACAGTAACAGTAAAGTTAAACTGAAAACAAACAAACAAGGATACAATAACACACTATGACCTATCTCTGCCCAGACAATAGCCTTGAGATCGCTTCACGTAGCGATCGGCGTGTGTTCATCTGTCTGTTGATTGGCGGAGTTTATCCGGCGGCCATATAACGTGCTGGCGGGTTACGCGGCCAGCTGGTCCACGTGTGGCAGCCAATGTTGACTTGAAGAATCCGGGAATTCCATCCGCAGGTGGAGTTAAGAGAGCTTGGGACACAGAGGTTATCCGTCTCTCTTTCAGGATCCAAGTGTCTGAACACATTATATTACATTACAGTCATTTAGCAGACGCTTTTATCCAAAGCGACTTACAATTCAGATTCTATCACATTTCTACACCGTAGGCACAGCTACGGGAGCAAAAACAGTCTGTAGGTTGGGACTGTCACCTAGGTTGTTTCGGGTACCAAAATTGTTACCTCCTGCAACAATGTGAATTGCAATGGAAAGGCACAGTGTGAAGGTTTGGGCCAATGTTTATAGCCTTGATGATGTCATGACAGTGTCAGAGGGACTCCTCCTTGGTTTAAACCAAATCTCACACTAAGGTGAGATTTTTAACGCCTGATGGGGGGGTAGGTGTGGTTTCACAATCTAGGCTTTTCTTTTTACATGTCATGCTGATGAGATAATACACTGTGCCTGATAAATCAAAATCGTTTCTCAGACTCAGGACTCAGGAGTCCAAACCCCAAATCAGAACTTGCTGAAAACGAGATAGGTATTATGGTTTACACTTTTCTTATACTTTGTGTGTGTGTGTGTGTGTGTAACTTTCTCTCACAGAATAAACACAACCAGATCAGTCAGACTAAAATCCGTGTGGCCTCCACCCTTCTCTTCATCCTGGCTGGCTGCATCTTGTTCGTCACCATCCCAGCTGTGATCTTCCAACACATTGAGGGCTGGACGGCTCTGGAGTCAACATATTTTGTTGTCATCACACTGACAACAGTTGGAATAGGTGACTATGTCGCAGGTGAGAGCTTGTCATTCAGTTAAAATATTCATGAATGGAAATGTCCGAATAACCTAATTAGTTTCTTACATATTAGTAATCAAAAGTAAATCAGAACACGTCAAAAGTTGTATGTGTGTGTCTGTATATATATATATATATATATATATATATTAGTGCTGCGCAACGATTACAATTTTGAATCGCGATTAATCACATGATTGTTTTGCGATTAATCGCATTGTTATGCGCAAAATTCAATAATTAATTCAAAAGTAGGGTATTGCGCACTTTTATTTTAAAAGTACTGCTATATGAACAAAAGTGCAATAATATTTGGTTCTTTTTAACAGCAGTTATTCCCTTTACACAGTAGCAGTTAAAATACAGTTATAATGATTCTGATAATAGATATTCAGCCAGTGTTCACAACTTTATCTTCATGTGTGTAAGAGATGCAATTTGAAATATACACCTTGAAAACTGCAAACCTATCTACGTCATGTTTTTTTCTTTTTTTTATGTTTGTTAAATTCTCAGTAGCAATAACTAAATGATATGCTTATTATACATATCCCAAACAAAAACACTTAAAAACTCTAAAAAAAGAATTTAACTGAATCATTTATTTTTAGCTTTTTTGGTATTTTGGTCAGACACATTCCCATAATATGTGTGGTATTTGTTATAAATGTACATTGGTACATAGAGGGTGATAAGAAGCTGTACATGGAGGGACTTAGGACCCAGGGGAATGTAGGTGAAGGAAACAGGAAGAGAAGGAAGTGATGCCACACAAACAGCTGTTCACCGCTTGCTGTCGGCAGGCTGGTTCTTGTGTTAAAAATGTCCGCTTAATAATACATTTTAAAAACTGCGCGATAAAATAATTGTCGGCATTAATTAATGAATGCGTTAACGTGATAATAACGCGTTAACTTGGGCCACTTCAATGTCTATCTCGACAGTAGGAAAACTGACACTGACATCCAACGTGATACATCACATCATCATATTACATTACATTACGTTACAGTCATTTAGCACAGTGGTCCCCAACCACCGGGCCGCGGACTGGTACCGGGCCGTGGATCATTTGGTACCGGGCCGCACAGAAAGAATAAATATTATAATATTTCCGTTTTATTGATTATCAGAGTCTGAAAGAAGTTTTATTTTGAAAAATGACCGGATTCTCTCGCAATTTCATCCGCCTGTTCCTCTTGACACATGTCAAGACGCTTGTCTCGGTCACGTTATACGTTACCTCAAAAATGAAACCCGCAAACTAGCGAAAATGAGTAAATAACATTTGGAGAGCGTCTTTGCAAAGGGAGAAAGGCCACTAAAGAGACAGGAGAAGAGCCTACAACTTCCAAGAAAAAGAAAGCTTCATTTAACAGACAATATCAGGAGTCTAATTAAATATCAGGAGTAATTCTGACGCGCCAAGCCCACTCTGCATAATATGTGGCGACAGAGGATCAGCTGCTGGAGGTTGTAAATGACGGTGGCCTTAAAAGTATGTTTGAGACAACAACTCTGCTGGTGTTTAGGTTGTGTTTAGGATTAAAATCAAGGCTGAATATCCTGAGATCGCCACTAAAGCACTGAAAGCCCTGCTTCCATTTCACACATCCTCTTTGTGAAGCGGGATGTTCTGCAGTGACAGCAGTCAAAACAAAATTTCGAAGTAGACTGGACATCAGGAACAGACTTCGGGTGTCATTGTCTCCCATTACCCCCAGATGGGACGTCGTTGCAGAGAAACAAGCTGAGGGCTCCCACTGATTCAGCGTTATTGTGAGTTGTATTTATTTATGGATTTTATATTTGTTTTCATGCCGATCGTATCATTTTATTTCATCGTGTTTTTCCGCCACACCTTGAAGGCCGGTCCGTGAAAATATTGTCTTACATGAAACCGGTCCGTGATGTAAAAAAGGTTGGGGACCTCTGATTTAGCAGACGCTTTTATCCAAAGCGACTTACAATTCAGATTCTATCACATTTCTACACCGTATGCACAGGGAGCAATTTTGGGGTTAAGTGTTGCTCAAGGACACATCGACATGTGACTAGCAGAGCCGGAGATCGAACCGCCAATCCTCTGATTGAAGGATGGCCCTGCTCTCCACTTTGCCACAGTTGCCCCGTACAGTTGCCCTCATATCACACCAACAATTGTAATCATTATTAAAATTACAAGCAAGGTGCACCATGTTATGTCGTTCCCTATTCCAAGGACAAAATATATCTTCCCAAAAAGAGATTTCATTTTACATTTTTAGATGGTTATAAATAAATAATAAACCTCATCTCAAAATGTTTTCTAAGAAAAGGAATATGAAAAATATTAAGTGCTAAAACTTAATAATGAGCAAATAAATGGTCAGTGCCCAAATATATGTCCATAATCAATCTGTATCTGTCAATTGAGTGGGACAAGAGCGGAAGAGATCCCATACCGTCCCGATCCAATCCAATCCAAGGCTCCGTATATGTGCCCCCTGTTATCTGATGAGACAACTTTGTAAAGATTGTGTCAAGCTGTTTCACCAGTTCTGTACCATACTTTTTGTGCAGTTTGTGTTTACACTGGTGTACAGTGATTCACACTAGCCAGAACACAAGGCTCTCTACCCAAGCAAGAAAATGTAGTTAAAAGAGACTACCCCTGCTGGCAAATAGTGAAAATAATATTTATGTAGCACCCCAACACTCTATAGAGAGTAGACCTACACTGGAATGATGGGGCGTTTGGGTTCTGAACTCCTAAGGTAGTTACCACGAAGGTTTACCTGATTATTGTGAATGTATATTACCCTCCGAATAACAAAGAAACTGTCAAACTTAATAACAAACTTAGCAGTAATTAAATAACTGACCACAGACAACTGATTGGGATGAAAAAATAAATACAAGTTTACTGACAGCTTTTGAAAATGTTCAAATAATAATTACCCTTTCGGGGGACAAGAAAACAAAACAACAATAACACCTTACAGTATGACAGAATACTCAAATTGACTTTAAAACACTCATGGGCCCACACACATTCACTCATATTACAATAAGAACACGTTGCAGGCCTGTGTAGCTCGGGTGCGGTGCTGCCTCCCGAATCCTCGTCCTCAGCAGAGACAGTTACACAGCAAATCCAAAATCACAATTCAATGTCAGTCCTTGAGAAAAAACAGTATGTCGTCCAAAAGACCACACCGACAGCGGAGGTGACGGCCATGGCGGTGAAATCCTCACCAGGAACACACCAACAGTCTGTCTTGGTCCGCAATCGGGTCCTCCGGTCCAGTGACTCAGCAACTTGTACTTTACACAGAAAAACTTTTACAAACTCTTCGGGTCGGCGTAAAGGACAAAGGAATCTGTAAAGACAATATATATGCAAAATAGTTAAAAATGTATGACCAAAATTGCAGATGTGCACTTAATTTGTTTAATGAAGTTTTAAATCATATGAGAAAGTCCTGCGATCATTCTTGTAGCCTGCCTGCTGAGTTCATTGACTAGACACTTTTACACATTTAACTATACATGTACAGCTTTCAATAAAATATTCTGACTATCTGGAAAATTATCATATAACATTAATAGTTAAACTACCTGCATTTTATTTTCTGTAACTGATCGGTGTTAAAAATATCCCTAATCCTATTCCTAACCATAACAAACAATCACTGGAAGAACGTCTTTCCCTCTCACGCCAACTTTCTACAACAGGCCCACATTGTGTTACTTACTACTGGGCCGTTGTCGGTACATCGTATGTGGCCCGCACCCTTACGGCAGGATGATATTTGATTTAAGTACATTTGCCGCCAAATTTGTCAACGTCCTCAACCAAGAAAATAAAGTAATTATCATGTAAAAGTTAGCGTTTTATAATATGTCATGCTAAATTCAACTAGCCCTCTGCTTACTTAATGCCTTAACCTTCATTTCTGATTCACAAGTATTGAATTTTAACGATGGCAAACTAAATAAACGTGAGCTAAACGGTGTCTCAAACGACAGACTCTCACATTTTGGCAGGACACCGGCAGGTTTAATGAGGTAGTGTACGTAGCTAAGTACTGAGCTAGCAAGAGTAGCTGCCGCTATTTCAGCTAGCTAGCTAGCAATTTCACAATTTCAGCTGAGAAAGAATAGGGATCGAAACTGCAGTTTAGACACACATACTACTAACAGACAACCTTTGATTGTGGGAAATAAAATATATATTTTTAACAAATGTGTTTGTACTCACCGATAGTGGACTGACAACTGATGAAATCCGCTGTGCACTGAAGGCAAACTCTCGTTTCCCAATCACGGCGATGTTTTGAGGAGCGCTTGGTATAATCACAAGGGTCTCCCGCACGGGCGGTGGCGTTTGCTGGTGTCCTCCGAAGGATTTCACACGATAATCTTTACTTTCTTTTACGACTGTGATTGACTAAATACAAACTAATGGAATAAAACCTAGGTAGATGTGCTATTTTATGATGTGTATTTAACTGGCAGTTGGTTGGACAAGACAATTGCATTTTGTGAAATGTAGACATGAGTGCGTCAATTCGGGACAGGCTGTAGTTAAAAACAATGTCATCTTCCCTGTTGCACCTTGCATAAAAAAATGCCGGGTGATGTTGATGTAATCGGTTCTGGCCCAGCAACGACATGTATACTTCACAGCAAGTTGCATTCAGTCAGTGTTGTGGGCCAAAAACTAACAACATAGTATTGGGCCATGACCTATGTAACAACCTTTGGCCCAGTAATAGCTTTACTACCAAAATATTGTAATGCTACGTCCACCTCTGGGCCAATTCTGGCATATACACAGATAATCTGTCCGTCAGTCAGCCGACACTGGCGGAGGACAGCCAGAGTCAGCCCAGAACTGAATGCTATCTGGGAACTTATCATCATAATTCTCCGAAAAGCAATATGACACTATGAAGGAGTTATAGGCTAACAGTGCGTTTATAAGTATGCTCATTCCGACTAGAGGATGTAGA